AAGGGGTCCTTGGTGTTCTTAGAGCTTGGTTACTTTTTTGCGTATTTTCATTAACCAAACTAGGTAACCTCATCAATGCTGATAATGTTACCCAGTTTGGTAATGAAATGTCTGCAAGAAAACCAGCAAGCTCAGAGAGCACCAAGGACCCTTCATTTCAACCCTGAGCTACAGATATTCTCTTTTATTGATACCGGATGAGGTCTAACAAGAGTTGGGTATGGTGAGATCCTCTTGAAAGCGATGGACAATCGTTTTCTGGTGTGAATCACAACTGGTGTGAATAAAAAACCCAAGCTTGAGACACAATGTGATGTTTCATTTTCCTGATTGTCTTAACATCCTATGGTAAGCAGGATGACTGCAGTAAGGAACATCCATATAATCTAAAACAGGTTTTTTTTTCCCAACCAGACAAGTTCCAGATGTATGAACTTCTAACTCCCATAGCTCTCAGCAACGGCCATCATGGCGGAGGCATTCTGTGAGTTGAAGTTCAAACAATCTGGATTCTGGAAGGTACCCAGATTGGGAAACAATTGAGTTAAAAGCTTTAAAATGCCAGCTTCAGGAAGACTTAAATAGAAGGAGCAATTCCCAGCATTGAGAGCTGTATTAATCTGTAGCCACAGGAATAGTGGAGCAGCGTATGGCATGTCAATAAGTAACAGCTGTATTATAGAATATGTTTTTTTGTGAATGAAAGAAAAGCTCTGCCTTGGATAGTACATATGACCAGAAAAGAGAAATAAGAATGGATAAAGGCTGTATAGAAGAAACCTCGAGAACGTAATGCATAGATAGATAGAAAGATAAAACAGATAAAGATAGATAATAAATGAGAATTATAAAGAAAGACAAAAACTACTAATATGTACGAAATATGAATACCAAATGTTGATGCAATTACTGTTGAAAATGTAATTAAGATGTGTACTGGTGGAAAACAATTAAAATTATTTGGGAAAAAGAAAAAAGAAAGAAAAGCTCTGCCTATTAAATCAGTCCTTTAAGAGCAGAGGTCTCCAACGTTAGCAACTTTAAGATTTGTGGAATTCTGGGAGTTGAAGTCCACAAGTCTTAAAGTTACCAAGGTTGGAGATCCCTGCTTTAGAGCAGGGGGTGGAAAACCATGCCAGCCATGTTGGCTGAGGAATTCTGGGAGTTGAAGTCTACAAGCCATAAAGGACCCATTATTCCTCACTCCCTGCTTTAGAGGTTGCAACAATCATTGCATTGAGTAACTTAACCAATCCTTGACCTTTGCAAACTGGACCAAGACATAGTTTTACTCAAGCATTACTGCAGCACTGCAGCCAACAACACAAACAATGTCTCTTGCCTACATTACCAACCAGTCTATTCATATCTACTGTCTTTGCTTACTTTGGTGGGTTAAAATTGAAGAGCAACTAACTTGTGAGAAATGCCCTTACTTCCTCGGCTGGCGGGCCATCCTTTCTCACATTTGGCAAGTCGCTTTCACACAACCCACACAATTGATCCACACCGATATCCCCACAGAGGAGGAGGTATCAAGCACACAACTCTCATTGTGATACCCAGCCCACCCTGTGACGTTGTCATCTCCCTGCATTGCCCGAAGACATTCTGCAAACATTGGCAGAGTGACCGCTTCACCAAGAGGGTTTAAAAAAGATTTGAGGGGAAAAAAGTTTCACAACCAATTGCAAAGGTCAACATTTACACACAACCGAGATTAAACTGTGAAAAGGAAGAGTGGCTCAGAAATTAAGAGGGACTCTGCTCTTTTCACAGCTCATAAACATAGAAATGTATACTTATTCTTCAATCGCATTTGTCTACAACAGGGGTGTCAAACTCAAGGCCTGCAGATGTAGTCGGATCTGGCCTGGGAGGGCATCCTGATCTACCCAATGCAAAGAGGAAACACGCCAGTAGTTTGGGGACTGGCATCAAGCAAGCCATGCCCACCCAGTTGGCCACACCTATCCAGTTTCCAAGCCCCTTCCCCCAAGATCAATCACAACCTTGATGTGGCCCTCAATGAAATTGAGTTTGATACCCCTAGTCTACAACATGTCCACTGGTGTTAAAATTGGGGGTAGGAATATCAACAAACTCCAGATATGCAGAGGATGTACCGTTCACTCGTGGAAAGCAAGGAGAATCTAGGGTGGCTAATCCTGAGAGTCAAAGACGAAAGTAAAAAATCCGGACTGCACCTGAACAACAAGAAAAGAAAGATGGTGACCTCTGCCTTAGAAGGCACAGGTGGGAGTGCAGATCGACAATGAGACCATCCAAACAGTAAAGGAATTCATATTTCTGGGCTCTAAAATCCACCCAAGTGGTTTCTGCAGCCCTGAGATCAAAAGGCATATAGCACATGGAGGAACCTCAATATCTGGCATGAATAACATCTGGAAGAGTAAAGACATCAGACTCAGAAGCCACTGGTCTGAGATGGTATAAGGGGTGCGCACTAGAAGACCTCCAAGGCCCCTTCCAAGTATTCCATTCCATTCTATTCTAATTCTATTCTATTCTTATTCCATATTCTGTTCTATTCCTTATTTTATTCTATTCTGTTCCTTCATTTCAATATTCTCTAAATGTAGATTGATGCAATAATTTTTCCAATTGTTACTTATGGCTTGGACTCTGAAAAAGGTAGGTAGGAAAAGGTTCAACACCTTTGATCTGTGAGACTGGAGGTGACCATTACATGAGCCATGGTGGTGCAGTGGTTAGAGTGCAGTACTGCAGGCTACTTCTGCTGCCGGCTGCCTGCAATTTGGCAGTTCGATCCTGACCTTCCATCTTGACTCAGCTTTTCATCCTTCCGAGGTGGGTAAAATGAGGACCCAGATTGTTGGAGGCAAGAGGCTGAGTCTGTAAAACCACTTAGAGAGGACTGGGAAGCACTGGGAAGCAGTATGGAAGTCTAAGGGCTATGGCTATTACCCATCCCACGGACTGCATCAATAATAAACAAAGAAGTCCTGGAATGAATTTCACCCCAAAAATATGACTTGAAGCCAAGATCGCCAAACAGAGGCCATCATACTTTGATCATGTCCATTAGAGCTGACTCATTTGAAAAGTCAATTTCCATGCTGGGAAAAAGGAAACGCTGGCTGGACACTGTCAAGAATGGCACTGGAATGACTGTGATGGATCTGAAGGGGGCAGTGCAAGACAGAGGGGCACGGAGAGTGCTGATCCGTAGAATGGTTAAAGTTCCGGAATTGAACTCTACGCTTCTTCAAGCATCCAAGCCTAAGAAACTCTCATCTAGAGAGTCAATGTTATCTTTGGATGGGGGACAATGTGCCTCTAAATCAGGGGTCCCCAAACTTGGCTACTTTTAAGACTTGTGGACTTCAACTCCCAGAATTCTCCAGCCAGCATAGCTGAAGTCCACAAGTCTTAAAGTTGCCAAGTTTGGAGACCACTGCTCCAAATCCTTGTTCCAGAAGAACAAGGCTAGGAGAAGTCCACTTCCTCTCCACCTTCTGCTTGCAAGCCTCCTCAAAGCATTCTACTAACCACGGTGGGAAGCCAAACCACATTGCCCGCTAGTGAGTTCTGTCATCTGCCCCAAGACATTCTCGAAGGGGGAAGTCAAGTCCAACAATGGTTGAGGGATTGCAAAAGATACTGTGAGCCCCACCACCAGTGACTGGATCGTGATGGACCTTGGCCTGATCCGGAAGGGCTACTCTTGGGTTATCCGAGACGCAGAAATTAATCGTGTTCCATGCAAAGGTGGATCTGCAATGGTAACACGTCTGCCCACATCTCCTTCCCCCACAGATTTTACGTGTCATTATATCTTGTCATCATGCCCTTATCCTGGATAATTATTGACCCTAATACCAACACAACACCACAACGCCATTGTGAAGCTCCAAGGAAGCCTGCCTTGAATCTGAGGGCATTCTTCAGATATTCTTCCCCCATGCCTCTCAAAATAACTCCCTCCCCAGGGATCAAAATAGGAAACCGATGTGAACTGTGTCCCAGTTCAAGCCACAACCTGTTGTTCGACTGTGCAATGCATTCAAGCAAGTTATTTCTTCTCCTCACTACTTTCCTTAAGACCAGAGATTCCCCCATCTTCTTCCCAAGAAGAGAAACATCTTTCAAAGTCATTTTTTCCCCTTATTGCCGGTAAAATCTGCTGATTGAATCAGCAAATACCTTCCAGTTTTCAAATAATCCAGCAAAGAGAAGGAAGGAAGGAATGGAGGGAGGGAGAGGAAAGAAAGGGAGGGAGAGAGGGAGAGAGGAAGAGGGGAAAGAAGGAAGGAAAGAAGGAGGGAGGGAAGAAGGGAGGAAGAGGGGAAGAAAGGAAGGGAGGGAGGGAAGGAGAGGGGGAGGATGGAAGGAAAGGAGGAGGGAGAGGAGGAGGGTAGGAGGAAAGAAGGACGGAGGGAAGGAAGAAGAGGAAGGGAAGAAGGAAAGAAAGAACGGAGGGAGGGAGGGAAAGAGGGAGGGAGGGAGGAGGAAAGAAGGACAGAGGGAAAGAGGAAGGGAGGGAAGAAGAGGGAAAGGAAGGAAGGAAGGAAGGAGGGAGGAGGAAAGAAGGAGGGAGGGAGGGAAAAAGAGGGGAAGGAAGGGAGAGAGGGGAAGAGGTGGGGGGGAGGAAGAGGGGAAGGAAGGGAGAGAGGGGAAGAGGACGGGGGGGGGGAGGGAGAGGGGAAGGAAGGAAGGAAGGAAGGAAAAAGGGAAGGAAGGATCTTGAAACCATTTACGAAAAGCCACATCCTGTGAAAAGCATCATGGCGGTACCAAAGTTTTCAAGGATGAGCTAACTTTTCCCCGCCTCGCTTGCCTCTCCTTTCTTTCCCTTTGGCCGAGCCCGCCGTCCGAGTCAAACCTCCCTCCGGGTCGCCGAGCCCCAGCCGAGAGATTCGCACCCCCACCCCCCATACACGCGCACACACACACACACACACACGCCCCCCACCCCCTCCGTCCCTTCCCGCCCTTCTTCCCGGGCCGCCGCTCACCTCGCTCCGCTGCAGCTGGAGGAAGCTGTTTAGGTAGCTGGAGTTGAGCGAGGAGGAGCCCAGCTCGGCGCCGCTCTTGCCGGGGTAGCCGAGCTCCGGGGGCTGCGTGGAGGCGGCGGACTCCGGGCGAAAGGCGTCGAAGGCGCTGGCCTGGTGCGTGTCTTGCAAGGAGAGGTAGACCCAGTTGAGCAGCTGGGCCGGCTGGTACACCGAGGCGGCGGTGGTCTCGATGGCGGACAGGAGGCTCATCCTGGCCCCGCGCCCAAGGGGCCCGCTAGCGGACGGGACCCCTCCCTCCTCCTCCTCCTCCTCCTTTTTCTTTTTCTCCTTCCTTTTCTTTTTCTTTCTCCTCCTCCTCCTCCTCTTCTTCTTTTTCTTTTTCTCCTTCTTTTTCCTCCTCCTCTTCTTCTTCTTCTTCCTCCTCCTCCTCCTCCTCCTCGTCAAGCCCCCGGGACTCGCTCAGCTGGCTCCCCCTCTTCTCCTGCGGGGGCGTCTCCTTCCTCCCCGCGGGCACCCAGCTCCAGGGAAGGAGGGAAGGGAACGCCGCTCGGCTGCCCGGCGCCCTCGACCTTCTTCTGTCCGGCCCCGTCGCAGCTCTGCCTAAAGCGTCCCGAGACCCGCCAGCCGCAGCAGCGTCCCGAGACCCCCCGGCATAGCTGCGCGGACCCCACTTGGGCTGCTCCCGCCGCGGGAATCCCAGCAGCCGCGGAGCTCTTTGGCAGGCGCTCCTCCTCCTCCTCCTCCTCCTCTTCCTCTTGCCCCCCCTCCACCCCCTCCTGCCTGCTGCCGCTGCCTCGGCCCTCCGCCTCTCCAGGCCGAGGCCGATCCGCTATCTGGCTTTATCCTCCCTCCTACTCCGGGGCGGAGGGAAAGGGCTCCGGGCACTCCTTCAGCACCACCTCGTTGCAATAGGCATAAACTGGAGGTGGGAGGGGGACGGGTCCGAGAGTGGGAGGGGGGGAGGGCCGGGAGAAGGAAGGCGATTGGTGGGTGAAAGTTTCCGGGCTTCTTGGGGGGGGGGAAACTTTGAAGGTTGGGGAAGAGGTGGGCCAATCGGAGGGAGAGCTGAGCGCCTTGCTTTCCCCTTTGGTCCTATCACACACACACACCCCCCACTCTTCCATCCACCCCCCACCCCGAAAAAACACAGGCGCCTCTTCTACACAGGATGCAACAGCAGCCTTTGCCTGGCTTGGCTTCAATCTGCTGCGTTTTGGAGAAGGACTTCCCTGGGTTCAAGCTTCTTTCAATCAATCAATCAGAACGGAGCTGGAAGGGACCTTGGAGGTCTTCTAGTCTAACCCGCTGCTCAAGCAGGAGACCCGTTCTACTTTTGGACAGCCTCTTTCTCCTTCCAGCTGTGCTCAAGTCGATTCTTCCAGGGAACTTTCAGTGTCCTAGGACTACTTCAGCTTCCACCACAATAATACACCGGCAAACCATAGATACAAACTCAAAAGTCAACCACTCCAAATTCTATGCAACAGAGGGGTCAACGCCTGGAACTCAGTCCCTGACTCTGTTGCGACATCCTCCAACCCCGAAAACTTTAACCTTAAACTGTCTACTGTGGACCTCACTCCATTCCTAAGATGTCTGTAAGGGGGTGTGCATAAATGCATCAGCGTGCCTGCCATCCCTGTCCTACTGTTCCCATTTATTCGTACTCAGGTATTATGTATATACTTACACCTATTTATTCTTATACGTTTACATCTTATGTTCATATTTATACTTGTTTTCTCATACATGCTTGACAAACTAAATAAATAAAATAAAACCGAATCCATTCGTGCAACTCCATCCTCGCTCCGATTTCCAACAGCAGGAACTGTACATGCTTGTAAAGGAACTTTTTGCTAATTCCAACAGTGGTCAAAGACGTTTCCACACACCCCTGGAAATTCGGACTGTATCAAGTGGTAGATCTGTTCCCGCCAACAATTCTCAGCCAGGTGCTCCCAAGAAACTCTAAGGCAACCTTTCATAATCTCACATTTCCAATAATATCAACCCTTTCATTTCAGGAACCATCTTGGACATCAAGATCTTCCTTACCAACATAGTTCAAATTTTATTTCCAACATTTCAATGCTTCTAATCTAGAGGGACTCCTGGATGGTAAGATGCTATTAGACCTGAAACTAGAAATCTGTAAACACTTAAACAGTGCCTTTGTAAGACCCATGGTTTGAATGTTGCATTCAGTTTGGACCACCATAATATAAAAACCTAAGATCGTGGCATCTGACCCTCTCAATTCCTGGCAAATAGATGGGGAAGAAATGGAGGGAGTGACAGATTTTATTTTCCTGGGCTCCAAGATCACTGCAGATGGGGACTGCAGCCAAGAAATTAAAAGACGCTTGCTCCTGGGGAGAGAAGCTATGGCAAATCTAGACAGCATACTAAAAAGCAGAGACATCACCCTCCCAACAAAAGGGTGTAGAGTCAAGGCTGTGGTTTTCCCAGTTGCAATGTATGGCTGTGAAAGTTGGACCATAAGGAAGGCTGAGCACCCAAGAATGGAGTCCTTTGAACTCTGGTGCTGGAGGAGGAGACTCCTGCGAGTCCCTTGGCTTGCAAGGCCATCCAACCGGTCAGTCCTAGAGGAGATCAACCCTGACTGCTCTTTAGAAGGCCAGATCCCAAAGAGGAAACTCAAAATACTTTGTCCACCTAGTGAGAAGGAAGGATTCACTGGAGAAGAGCCTAATTCTGGGAATGATGGAGGGTAAAAGAAGAAGAAGGGGATGGCAGAGAAGGAGGGGGCTGGGTGGAGTCCCTGAAGCAGTCGGTGTGAGCTTAAATGGACTCCAGAAGATGGAAGAGGACAGGAAGGCAGGGAGGAATGTTGTCCATGGGGCGCGATGGGTCAGACACGACTTCGCAACTAACAACAACAACAATATAAAAAAAAGATGTTGAGACTCTGGAAAGAATGCAAAGAAGATCAAAAAATATGATTAGGGGACTGGAGACCCAAACATACGAAGAATGGTTGCAGGAACTGGGCATGGCTAGTCTAGAGAAAAGAAGGAGAAAGAGAGATGTCATAGCAGTCTTCCAATATTTGAGGGGCTGCCACAGAGAGGAGGGGGTCAAGCTATTTTCTAAAGCAACCAGAAGCAATGGATGGAAACTAATCAAGGAGAGAAGCAACCTAAAAATAAGGAGAATTTTTCTGATAATCAGAACAGTTAATTAATGGAACAGATTACCTCCAGAAGTTGTGGGTCGCTAGAGGTTTTTAAGAAGAGATTGGAATGACAATTTGTCCAAAATTATATAGGGTTTCCTCTAAAAGCTATGTCATCCATGATACAATATAGTAGATGTATATCAACAGTACATGAATAAGGACAACTGAATGCCTGCTCCAATCCAAACAGCAACCTGCCTCTGTTCTCCTAAAACAGCAATGGAACTGTTGCTGTCTCACAAGAAACTGGCAGGTGTCACACCATTTGGCCCAAAGTCCAAAGTAGGGGAACCTTTTGCTCAATGATGTCCACTGTCTCAATGGAGTACATTTGCACTGACTTTTATCATTTCCAGCCTCGACACGTTCTACAGCTTAGCTACGTGCTTAACATTGATGTGTAGCTGCATTCAAGTTTGTAGGAGATAAATCCAGCACGTTGACGTACTAACATGAGTCTTAATTATTTTGGGAGTCAAGCATTTGCAACCGGCAATGATTGCTATGTAAACTATGAAATGACTCCAAGCAGGGAGAATCAGAAGAAAGTGGAACTTGTATTTGTTCTAACATCTGTCTCAGGAGATTTGTCTCTCTCTGTGTGTCTATCATATCTCTCTCTCTATCTCTCTATCTCTCTCTATCTCCCTACCTCTCTCTCTCTCTCTCTTTCTCTCTCTCTCTCTTTCTCTCTCTCTCTCTCTATCTATCTCTATCTATCTATCTCTATCTATCTATCTTATCTATGTCTGTCTATCTATCTATCTATCTATCTATCTATCTATCTATCTCTCTATCTCTCTATTCTCTATCTATCTATCTATCTTATCTATCTATCTCTAGGTAGCGCTCTCTCTCTCTCTCTCTCTCTCTCCATCCATATCTATCTATCTATCTATCTATTTTTCTATCTATCTATCTATCTATCTATCTGTCTATCTATCTATCCATCCATATCTATCTATCTATCTATCTATCTATCTATCTATCTATCTATCTATCTATCATCTCTATCTGTCTGTCTGTCTACCTATCTATCACCTGTCTATCATCTATCTATTATCTCTACTTATCTCTATCTACCTATCTATCACCTATTTGTCTATCTCTGTCAATCTACCTATATCGTCTGTCTGACTGTCTGTCTGTCTATCTATCTATCAATCTATCATCTCTATCTATCTCTATCTGTCTACTTACCTATTTGTCTGTTTGCTTACCTATCTGTCTGTCTATCTATCCATCCACCATTTTGTGGAGGACACAAAATGGTGACTGACAGAGAGATTGCCTCATTTTACTGCCTTATCTGCAGAAACTTCTGAATGCTGCCAAAAAGCCTCTGCGCCGCTATGCAGAGCTGGTTAAGGCAACCAAATGGGGCATTTTTTTCCCCCAGGTTGTGTGACAGTGGCACAAACGTGGCCACCATTTCATGGACTGGACAAAATGGTGGCCGCTTCCAAGAAGCGTGCACAAGGTGACCATGGAAGGAAGCAGCCTGTTCCCAGCCTGCTGGAAGGCCTCCTTTGTGCCGAGCTTGTTAAGGCAGCAAAAGGGAAATGTTTGTCATGTGGCTCCATGAACGTGGCTGCCATTTTGTGGGCAAAGCAAAATGGTGGCTGATTTTGGACTCTGGTGGGAAAGGGGAAAGGCCTGTGTGGAGCTCATGGGCAGGAAGTGGAGCATGGGTATGGGAGTCTTGGGAGGGCCAGGGCAGGTGGGTCTGGGCCTGTGCTAGGTCCCCAAGGGGCTCCCCCACCATACTCCATGCTCCACTTAATGACCTGAATCTTCCTTTTATGTTCCATAGGGGAGAACAGGGATGGGAGGGTGTGAAATTGGTAGATGACTGCCACAGAATATGACTCTAATGGGCAGGCTCCATTACAGTCGTCAGTCAGTCGGAATAGAGCTGGAAGGGACCTTGGAGGTCTTCTAGTCCAACCCCCTACTTAAGCAGAATCTCAAAGACTCCCTGTAAACCTGCTCTACAATCTATCCATGCTACTATTGTTTAGGTTTCGTTTCTTGCTTTAGAAGTAAT